GGTACTAAAGTAAATTCCCAAAAATGCTGAGATTCTTTGAATAGCTGACGTTGTAATAATTAAGTTGTATATACACATTTGATTTAGCTATGCAGCTTGCTCTAAGGATGATGTTTGCATACGGAGCCCAGGCCTTTTAAATTTCTGGTGGAGCACCATGTGGCATGCTCCGGGTGGCTCTAGGGGGGTGCACCATGCTCTGGGCAGCACTGCGGGCTGTGGGGGAGCCAACGCTTGATGCCTCAGCCCCACCCCTTCCATGAGCGCAGAGCCAGCACCTGCTCCAACCCTGCCGTCAGCTCCCCTGTTTGCATATGTAAGTCTAGGGAGTCTCATGGTCTTTAAAAAACACCCCCCAGTAATGCAGAAGCAATAGAATTTTCCCTACCTACTATGCACCCAGGCTAATAAAATGTCTGTTCCAACAATCATTACTGAATGAAAATATCCCCTTTCTCTATGGTTATTAATTAACAATTTTACACATTATCAGTTTATATTTCAACCCCTTGGCTGAGAAGCATCCATTTCAGGGGGAAAAAAACCCTTACAAAAACAAAATGCGGTGCTAAAATTAATCTACTCCTCCTCAAATGCACTTCTTCAGTTGCTTCCACTCAATAGCAAGTGCAACTATGAGGCTTCACACGAGTCTGACTTGCAGTCAGTTAATTACACCACAGAAAATATAGCCGTTTTAATAACGTCATCTGGTTACATGTGGAAAGTATCTAGTATGCCTGCTAAATCATTTGTTATTCCTCTCTCATATTTAGCACTATTCTCCAGAGACCAGGGCACTGGTGGGCAACCTGCAGCCCACTGGGGTTCTATTTGTGTACCAGACATTTTATTTTTGCTTGTAACCTAAACTTCACACATCTCTCCATACAGTAGCATGAATCTGAACATTTAATTTGAGTTTATATTCTGTGCCAGGCATGTGGCCATGGTTTCTCAGGGGCCTGGCTTTATTTGGCACACCCAGTTTAGCCTGGACTCAGTCACATGTGAAATGTTCATAAACCTACGTGAAGTAAATGTCTCTAAATTGCCTACCTCCCCACAAGCAACACCGGTAACACCCTCAAGCAAAATATTTGCCACTGCAAAGCTCCAGGATTAGTTTAACCCCTAAATTAGCTAACATCTGCTTTTATATAAGGAAAAGACAGAGCAGATGGTTCCACACTTGATGACAGTATGACAGTACTTATGCAGCACTTTTGCAGAGATCTGATTAAGAGAGGATATACATATGGGGAAACTAAGGAATTGACAGGTTAAGTGACTGTCTCAAGATCACACAGGAAGTCAGTGGTAGTGGGGAATACCCAAGACTGTTCTGCCCTTTAAAACATGCTGCCTCACTGCAGTACCAGGCAAATGACCTAGGTTCTATTTTTAGGCTGATCTCTTGCTTCCTCGGGCCAAGCCCTGCTATCTATATTCACGGAAGACTCCCAATGACTTCAAGGAGAATTTTGCCTTAATAAGGACTGCAAATAGACCACTGCTGGGAAAAGATGACTAGGTCACAGGGAGGAAAGGGGTGCTAAGCCTCCCGTCTGGCCAGTCTTGGAACCACATTCTAGAGCTGGCCAGACAACTCAACTGTTGATTTGATTTTTTTTCTTTTTTGGTGACAGAAGTGAATCTCCCGTCCCCCTACTCCCGAGAATTTTAACTGAAAGAATAGTCAAGTTTTTGACAATTCTATCAACAATTCTGAGGAGAATCATATTCAGTTCGTCTCAGGCAGCAGAAGGTCCTACAACACAGGCCTTGAATGTTCTACAACCAGGGTACCATTACCTTCACACTGAGTTTTAGACCTCTTGCCAGATTCTCTTAGAGACTAAAATCTTTCTGAAACTGACAGGCTTAAGGGGACAAAACAACTTTGGCAGTCCAGCCCTAAAACTTCTTAGGGAAATTAATTTGGCAGCCATCTTCAAAAAGGAAAAAGCTTCCTGCAGCTTAACACAGTTTTGTCGAGTCAGTTTTATCCTCTAAAAAGATCAAGACTCATTTCAACAGATACAGCAGTCCATTATCCAGCTGTTCAAAAATACCTTGCAAGCAATCTGGTTTCAAAAGATGACACTGAGTTTAACACACAGGAAAATGGAAAAGGTGTCAATAATCATAAACTATCTAATCAATGAAGAGGGTAAGCAGCAATGGCACTGATTCCAGAAATGCTACCCTGCTCATCAACTCTCGTAGACTGAATTGAAAACATCTCCAGTAATGACACTTGCAGAAGTGATTTCAAGAAAAGTTAAATGACTGAAACAGACAACAGCCAAAAAAAAAAATCTCTTGAAATGACAAACTACAGCCAGCTAGAAAAAGGAGATTCTCACCAGATTTAGTACTGGAGATTCTTACTGCATTTTTTTTTAAAGCTCACAGCTTAAAATGCTTGCTCAACATATGCCCCAAAGATCCTCAGAGCTATACATCTATCAGTCTCTTAGAACATATAAGCTTTTGTGTTAGCTATCAGTATTGCCAGTATTCTTAATTTGTACTGATATTAGGAGACCTTATCTTCCCCATTAAACATTCAAAATTAAAACCTCCATTAAATCTTACTTTCATAAATCATTATACAAATCCAAAATTGTCATGCGAGACATTGTGTACCGTAGTTGTTCTGAAAAACAATGTTTCAACCCCCAATCCATACAGAAACAGTTCACACAACAACTAGCTGGAAATCAAAAGGATAGCATCAACCACAATAAAACAAAGTTACTGCCTTCAAACTCTATGTACATTACTTATTTTTACTGAGGTAGCGCCCAGGGGTTCTAACATCCACTGGCAGTCATGCTCAGCTCTTCTACAAAATTACATAGCTCAGCTAATTTTAGTATTCAGTTGACTTGTGCTTCATTTAAGCAACACAGTAGACGCAATACAAAGCAGAGAAGTTGCAGGACAAAGAAAGCTATACGCTATTGGCTTCTGCACCATTGTGACACAGAACCTTAGATTAGCGCACAAATGCAGGCCTTTAGAGAGATTTACGTGAGCTGGTATATTTTACTACTGTAATAACTCAACTGAAGAGGTCTTACAAATTTAGGAGCCTGGTTATTTGCATAAATGTTCCATACGAGCATGCAGTCTGGGCCAGCTAGTACCTGCAAAGTATAGCTTTAATCTAACCTATACTGTTTTTCAATTATTTCCTTTTACAATCATCAACATCAAAACAAAGCTACAAACCAAAACATCCAACAGCATGTTATTATTTATTTATATGCATCTACACATACCTTCAGGCTTAGTAACCAAGAAGACTATTAGACACATAACATTAATGGACCAGGCTCCATGATAACCCTTTTAAAGTGTCCCTGACAGTGAAAAAAAAGCTAAATTGCAGTACATATAATCTTACACCCATGAGCTGTTTAACCTTTAAACTATTGTATGCACTTACACTTCATAGTAGGTAGTGTATATAAAAAGGCTATTATCTTGAATATCCGTTGTTTACAATCAAAGGGTTTTTCTGACTAGCCTCTCCCTAAAACTCCAAATGTAGTCACGCAAGAGAAATGAATGCAATAAAAAAGGGCACAAGGAGGAGGACCCATCTGACCGCCTACTCAACTCAATTCAATAAATCTACCTCAGCTCCTCGCCCCGCACATGCCTTTCCAATTTAGTCGACGTTCTCCCGCAAGCGCTATTTTCAAATAATTCATCACCAAAGGTACGTGATACTCTCCAGGTCAACGATAGGAAACAGCAGAGCTCATGGTAGCCCAATTTCCTCAAGTGCTGAGTACAACTTCAAATGAAGTGAATGAAAGCTGTGGGTGTTTCTGAAAAATCAGGCTATGGCTCACAGCATATGTGCAACAGTGCAATGTGAGTGACAAATGTACACGTTCTAATACCGGAAACATTTCATACAGGTGGTATCCTTGGCTCCAACAAATACTTTAACCAAAAAAACAAACATTCCAGCAAGCCTCTCATCTGTGATCAGAGTCACTCAAAAAATTGAATGCAACTGGTCTGTTCTCCACTTCTGTAAGAGCTCCGACAAGCTGCAGTTATGCAATGTGGCTCATTGACAAACATAGTAACTGCTGCTAGGGGTGTAACAAACTTCCAGAATGTAATCTCCTCCAACAGCATTTGACCAAACAGACTCATGCCAGTCCCCCAACACATGGATTAAACATTGAAGCTGCTTACACTTTCAACAGTCTCACTTACCAGGTTGTCATTAAACTCATTTGTTTCAGTCATATTATATCTGTCACTATTACCCTTTCAGCGCCATGCCCCTTTTTGCATCACAAAATGCAGGTAATTAGAATGACTTGGTTACTGAGGGACCACATTTGCCAGGTGTTAACATCCATAGTACATATTGCAGCAGAAGCTATATTGCGGGCAACCAGCTAATCAACGGAATTTCCATCGACTACTCAGTCGGTAACGGGGTGAAATGGAAGATCTGCAATGGGGTTACTGCCAGCACTGTGTCTCTGCCTTTTAAATGTATTAATACATTTAAAAAGAAGATGCGTAGTTCCTGGGATCAGGCATGAACTGAGAATCAGCTGGCTCTTCCCAGCACCAGCTCCTGCTCCCCTCCATTGCTGCCTCTTTCTGATAGATGCAGCAAAGGAAAGAGGGGGAAGGGAGGAATAGCGACTAGTTAAGTCAGTATTCGACTACCCAATAAGCATAAGCTTATTGAGTAGTCAACTAGTCGCTTACATCCCTAATGTGTACATGGCAAAGTGACAGAGTTCTCACTGTGAGTATGGCATTTGTTGCCCTCAAATGCATCCAAAAACATATGAGGCTTTTTTAAGTGATAATAATTACCCTAACACACAGGGCATTAACTACAAGGCAACAAAGCTGAAATTCCCATGAAGTAATATAAGCTCTGCTTATTGGAAAAAAAAAACCCACACAAATGACCATGCCCAAAAATAACATGTAAGCAAAATGCTCACCTATGAGGATAAGTACAATATCAACACAGACTCCAGGAGGGTAATTCAATTCACATCCCATCAAAGGGCTGAGTCGTGCAAGAACCGATCTCAAAAACTTTCTTCTTTTTGTAGTCAGTGTCCTTTTGTCAAAGTAAGAAAAGCCATTATTGTTCTCAGCAGTGCTCGGAAGCATCTGTACACAGAAATATTTCACTGTAGTCTAGGAAAAGGCATAATAAAGGTCTAATAAGAATAATAGTTTATTTGTGCCACCTTAAATCCAAGCACCTCAAAGCATTTTATGCACACTGAGTTAAGCCCTGAATCAAGTGGGGAGGCAGAAAAACATGGAGATCACAGTTCACCTAAAGTAAAGCGCCACTGGAGGCCTTACTGAATCATGTTGAGCAGATTGTATTCAGGTGCAAAAATGATTTAGCAAAGTTTCATTTTAACTTATTAAAAATTGTATATTACATGCATCTGAAGAAGAAATAAGTGTATTTAACCTCCTCTTTGGGTAATGGAGTAATTCTTTGCAGGGCAGGTTTTATTTAACTCTTAAGGATTCAAAACGTCATTTAAAAACGACACACACAAACAGATCAGGCTCGCACACCAATCTGGAGTCACTCCACTGACTTCAGGTAAGAACTGAACTTGACCTCAGTTGAAAACTGACTTCAGTGGGGGCACCCTGGATTTACACAGCAACACAGAACAGAATCTGGCTTTAGATTTTAAAAGGACCTAGAAGTAGGTCACTCAAATGCATGTTTAAATAGCAACAGTCAAAGGCAATTACTTGTATGTACAAATGATCCAGCTATCATCCTATATGAAGAGTCAATATTTGAAATCTGACCATGGCACCCGCGTAACGCAGTGATGAGCACAGTTTAAACCACCAGAAAACTTGCACAATCTAGGAATACTAGAGAGAACATTAACACAAAGGCTAGGGAGGCCCCATAAATAAGCGGACTACTCGCTGGTGTTACTGGAGCATAAAAGGGACAAGTTTCTTTGCAAGTTTTAGAAGCTGACAAGAAATGTATATCCCATCCCCCACCTTAAATACTTTAGTCTGTTCACTCTGTGCATTTGACAGCATTGTGTGTAGTTATTTTTTGCTGTTCCCACAGTCCATTCTGTTTCTCCCTAGTTGCAAAGACCATTAAACCCAAACCAAAACAAAATGATTACGCACCATCAATAAGCCACCTCTCCACTTCAGCCCTTAACCCACCCACACAATTTCACAACAAGTCTTGCACAGAGACCTAAAGGTAAACAAATTGTTTTTGTCGGACCAGTGCAGGTTACAAATCTCATAGTCAAGGACTCCTCCCTGAAAATCCTACCTCCCCAAAGCCTCCTCATGTTAAATGCATTAGTGTTTCTGACAGCCTGAACTACTGTCTCATGGTATCATGTGGAGAAAAGCAGTCTCTAAGAAATCAAGGTCTGGCCCATTTAAAGATGGGATAGTTTCAAATCAATCATTTTATACTGTACCTGGAACACAGGTATTCTGTGCTTTAGCAAGAAGCATCAGTTACAAGCAGCTGGTCGGTCAGCTATACCTAGAACCGATGAAGTTTCACCACCGCCTTCTATTCAATCTCCTCCCATCCCACCAAAAAAGAGAGTTTAGAGAATCGGCAATAATTAACCAGCTGAGGCATTCCTCCAATAACGGGCCTGTTATCCCTCCACAAGGTTTGTAACGAACAATCAGAGCCATGGATACAGCTCAAAGGTAGTCGGTTGGGGTGCCAGCGCCACACCACTACATTAATATCAACTGAAAGCCAAGCTATAAAGCCCCTGCTCTCCAAAGTAGATAACAGCTCAGTCTGATCTAACTGATCCTCAAGGGACAATGAAAGTTCCTCATGATAAGCAATGTTCTGTTGAACAGTGGTTTCATAAGTCTGTGATACAGGAAAAATAAAATAAGTTACCTGCCTACCGGAGGTGCAGTGGCTTGTCTAGCTAGGGCTAGGGATATTAAATATCGGTTACTGAATAGTCAATTAACCTCATAAATTCTTATCAGTTACTCAACTATTCTATAGTTCCCGGGGAGTGTGGAGAACCAGCAGCCAGTGCACTCCAGACCCACTCCCAAGGAGCTCCCTGCCACTCTGTGCTGCTGCCTCTGTTTCAGAGGCAGCAGCGTTGGGTGCCGTTCAGGAGCTAGTCCATGAGGGGAGCCAGTTTAAAACCAGCTCCCCCCTCAGACCAGCTGCCTGTCACCCCATGCTGCTGCCTCTGATACAGAGGCAACAGTGCAAGGTGGCAGGAGCCTCTGTCCAGGGGAAGTCTCAACTACTGGACCCAGCGATGCTGCCTGCCTGCCTGCCTCCTAATACACTTTAAATGCAGAGTTGTTGCGGGGTAGGTCCTGGACCCATCACAAGCTGGGACTGAGCTGGGCTGCTGGCCAGTCCGCTAAAAAATTTACTGGTGGAGGGAAGGGAGGAAATGTGGGTAGTCTATAGCATTAACCTATAAGCTTTTGCTTGTCAGTTAATCGACTACACTATTATATCGCTATCTAGGACACTGGTGCACAACCTACCCAATGCATGCAGCCCATTAGGGTTATTCGCTTGGGGGCCACAAGACAGTTCATGTTGAGCATCTGCAGGTATAACTCCTTGCAGCTCCCAGCGGTCACGGTTCACCATTCCTGGCCAATGGGAGCTGCAGGAAGTGGCAGGGCACCAGGACGTGCTGGCCGCCACTTCCCACAACTCCCATTGGCTGGGAATGGCAAACCACAGCCACTGTGGCTGCTCAAAGTCAGCAAAACATCTCGTGGCCCGCCAGTGGATTGCCGTGATGGGCCGCGGGCAACCTGCGCGTTGCCCACCACTCATCAAGGGTGAAGGCTTGGCCTTCTATTCCTTCCATCTCCATAAAACTGGACTCCTCAGCTAGATGGATCTGCAACTGTTCAAGTCCTATGGTTGTCATGGCAGCCGCAGCAACTTATTAATAAAGTTTACTATTCTTGAATTAATTGAAAATTTAAGATTTATGTTCTACATTTTCAAATGAATGGTTTTTGAGTGCCCAACTTTAAGCACCTCGAAGGAGCCGAGTTTAAAGCGGGCAGGTGCTGAGCATTTTCTGTAAAATCAGGCCACTGGAAAATGTCTCACTTTGGGCACAAAAAAATCACTGGTCACTTTTGAAAATACGGGTCTATGCAACTGAGTTTTTGTTTAACTGGACTGGGGAGAGCTAGAGAGGAAAGCAATCTGTCAAGCATCCACAACTGCCTCAAGATTTTGAATAAGATGCTTTTAGGAATCTACCTTGATCATCTACGTATAAACTCGTATAATGATTTGTCAAATATGCTCAGTTTCCAATATTCTATGACAAACTGGTCATTAGCTATCTGCTTTATCTATCAAATCAGGCTTCATATGAAAGATCATTTTTAGCACATCAGGCAAAGTACACAGAAACCAAGTTGCCAGCTAGCCCTCCTCCCTCCGAATCATTATTCTGTAACAAATCTCATCTGACCTTTGAGGATTCTCTGTTGTGGCCTGCTTAGACATTTACTAGGAAAAGCATGATCAAATCAGTTCAGAACATATTCATCTGAGGCCTTACAGCTTAGATTAAGGCCATTTAATCTTGTAGGGTTCCCCCTCTCCCCGCCCAAAACGCTGGTAAATTCGCTATGAAACAAAATTGACACAACATGATCTATATACCATAACCAGGTTTTATCCTGAAAGCCTTACATTATTACAACCGATACTATTTGGATTAACACACGCAACATTTAATAAAATATCTGCGGAAACAATATATTATAGGGCCTTTTATAAGAATCACAATTTTTTTAAAAACTTCAAGTGGTCAGACAGACACAACCTACGATATGTTGCGGGAGGAAAGGCAGGTTAGCAAATAGCCTTTATTGAATAGATAAATTAAGATCAAACTATAGAAAGAGTTCCCTTAACTCATACAGGATGAACTAAGCAAATCAAATTAGGAAGTCCATGAACGTGTCCAGTTCTGTTCATCTTTGTAGTTTTTGCCAAGCATGATGGTTTCCACAGCACCATTGAAGTGGGGCACTGGGTCTATATTACTGAGTAAATTTCAATGGAACTACATCAGGAATACATTTGGTTTGTCTCTCGAGTTTTGTGGTCCAAGTACAGAGATATTGTAGAAAGTCTCCAATCCACCAATATTCAGGATTTTCCATGGGAACCCGCGTTAATATTTCAAGGAGGGGAGAAAGAAAAACAAATAAAGGCCCCAAACTGAAGGAGTAGGGGGATCTTTAGGACCAGATCTGGGCAGAAGGCCAAATTCAGATCGTGAGAACATCCACTTAAGCTGTAAGAAAGGGGTCACCAGAAGAACAAACTTCAACTGAGTATTTTATATGTTCTCTAATTAAAATAATTTGATGCTCAAAGCATGTACCATTAAACAACATCCAAATGAATGACCATTTCAGTAGTAACTTGCTTTATATGTCCAAGGATACTGATTCAGAGGCAGGAGAGGGGGAGTTGTGTGTAGTCGACAGGATTAACCGATAACTACATGATTAACCAATAATTATTGTCTGCCCCTTGAAATCCCTTGTATCTAACTGCATAGATGTAAAAAAATCAACCATGCTTGAAAATACTTTATCCACCACATTAAGTCCTTTCTACTGGACTGACCTGGTCAGAATCATATGGATATATCATTAATATGTGTCATCATAAGTACATGGCTGAAAAATTCAGCTTGCACAATGTTTTACACTATCATTTGAAACACAGTGAACTTTGTTATATTTGCAGCTAGCAGCTGAAAGCATAATACATTTTCAGTCAAAACCAATGTCAGCAAAAAGCTGATAACACTACATCCCCACTCCATGGTGTGTGTATCTTTGTCTGTACTGAACTCACTATTAGAGGCAATAGTACAAACTCACTTAAAATGTGGGGTTTTTAGGACATTAATTGGCACTCTAGAGCCAACGTGGCAGTTTAGCAAATTAATGAAATATTTTCAAAACTCTGTTGCCACCTACAATGGGCTATGCCAGTAAATACACACTAATAAAAAAACCTAACCACTGTGTGTGGCATCTGAATATACAAAGATTGGATCAAACAAGGTAGCCAGTTAAGAACCAATTGTCTTTTTAGCTTGTATTGTAACTTAAGCTGCCTTACGTTGCCATAACTCAGTAAGAATCTACACTTAAATGTCATTCCCACAGATGTATCTTGCCCACAATGCCAGCTTAACTCCACCTCCTCGAGAGGCACAGCACTTAGGTTGAAACAGTTAGGGCAACGCAGTGTCAGTGTAAAGACTGCATGGCTTACATTGCCTGCTGCTGCCTTTCAAAAGCTGTCCCACAATGCCCCATTGGGGACAGTTCAACTGGGGCCAGTCTGGTGGCTATGTGCACTACTGACAGGAGAAGCATAGTGTGGACATTCAAAAGCAATTTCATTACTGCTGTGGCCGTAGGTCAACTTCACCTAGGTCAACTTACGTAGTTTGCCCAAGGAGTCCTGGACACAGGATCAGCTTCACAATTCATCTACACAGCCAGCAAATGAAACCAAACGTTGATAAAGGCACAAGGTTCGCTGAGCACTCTTCTACAGAAACGGTTTCACTAGAGTTGTGTGTTTTTATTACCCTTCTGTTAAATAACGATAAGCATTTCAATTAAGTGAAACCATATGGACATAAATGTCATGAGTTTATTCTGCAGCTAACCAAATGCATTCTTAATAAGATGCCTATCTTTCCTGCCACATCAAATCCACACTAAAAACGTAACCATTGGTCACCAAGAACACACACAACTACTGTACAAATGCATGTGAACACAGGCTACTAGACAAGCTGTCATTAACAAAACAAACAAACAAACAAAAACTTTAATCAGAGTGGGAAAAAAAACCACCATTATCTACCACTCAGCTTATAAGAGACTTAAAAGAAATGAAATATCGTGAAGGGGGAAAAGAAACAATTAACTTCCCTTTATAAACGCAAGTAAGCCTACAATGAAAACCCCCCACCTCTTCAGATACAATCCTGGGACTGGCTAAATCAACTTACTTGTTTCCAAAGTCCACTTCTAGTAGAATTAAGTATACGAGTCACCAAAAGTACTTTAGGAAAACTGAAGTTCGCACTACCTCACATTAGAAGGTGCAAGGACATGCTTAAATGCAGAAACTCTCTATATTATTAACAATAATCTAAATCCACTATATTTGTTCACTTAAGTCTCAGTCCTGCAATCAGAGCCACGAGTGGACCCTTGCAGAGGGCCAATGACTTGTCTTCAGCAAGGGTACACATGATGCTGCCTACAGCAATCTAATTGCAGGACAGAGGAACAATTCTGAGTTCTAAGTAGGCACCTTAGCAAGCAATATCCCAAACTTATGGAGTAAACATTTAAACTTGAAATATATTCAAAAGATTCACTTCCTGTGTCATTCAAGAATATGCATATATTCCTTAAAACCAATAATTAATTAAATGAGTGGCTGATTACTGACTGTTGTATAAAACTACAGAGACGTAATCTGGAAAAGACTACAGATCCATTTAAAAATATATATAAAATTGCAAAGAATGAATTTATTCACCAGATAACACACTATCCATGTGGACATAGTACAGGATAGAAATATTACTATGATTTATCAGTACATATTAAATTTTAAGTTTCATTATGTATGAAGACTGTATTTCGATGTACAGTTAAAACATAAATGCAGAGTTAACACAAATACAGTTAAAACATAAATGCTCCAATACATCTGTTAGTCTAAGGTGCCCCAGGACTCCTTGTCACTTTTGCAGATCCAGACTAACACTGCTACCCCTCTGATAGTTAAAACATGGACATTATAGTATGCTCATATTATATTGTCATCTAACTTTCAGTTCTTTAGTCATACTTGCAATGCCCTCTTTATTTTACATGAAAGTGCGTCTCATATCACAAGCGTCTCCATACATCTGTATATTTGAAGCTTTTGGTTTCAATTCTAAACTATACTGACATATTGTGCAAACATCAGTCTCCAAATGAAAACATTAACATGTCACTAGAACTACACTGTGCTAGTAAATTACGTCATGTCGTTCAGCACGTATTCCTCTCTAAAAACTCACCAAAAGTTCTCTGATCTAAATACCATCAAACCGAAGACAAAAAACATGATTAAATATTGTGTGTTTGGTTTAACTTGAGCCCTCAAATTCAAGATAACCTTTGTTCTTCAAATACCAAGTGGGTCTACTAAATTCTGTCAAAGTTTTTGCATTTTATGTAGCTGCTACGTTAGGAGCTTTTAGATTCAGCTATGCCAAATGTATAAACACCATAAGAAATAGCTATGAAAACAAAAAGATAACTCACTTCACTGTTGATTTTAGTTTGATGGAACACCAATATTCCCCTTGTCCCAGTGCGTCCCGCTTTGATGAAAATACTGCATACAAAAATAGATTATTTTTAGGCTCAGTATGTGAAAGCACAGTACTTCCTGCCTCAGCTCCACCTTAAAAACTATACATACATTCTCTTTTTGATTTCTACAGCTAGTGTTTCATAACCCCTGCTATCAAACGCAATGGAGGGGGACGTCAAAAGGACAAGCTGTTAGAAACTAGGGAACTGGCATTTCAAGTTTGTAACTCAGCACAAGAAAAGTTTTGTTAAAATACACCATCACTCTTGGCAATCATGTCATATTAAAATGATGGTGTTTCTATCTGTCACAGCTATGAATAGCCTCAAATATTTTTATTTATAACCCTGATCTTTTCCATAGCAACAGGATGGGAACACGGCATTCCCAGTGTAATTAAGTCACTATAGCAACACGATAATGATGTCAGAATAATCAGAAAGTATTTCATATTTGGGAGATGGTGCACCCCACTAGCTGTGTATAAATTTCAAAAGTTACAGATACTGCAGAATCCAAAGAGTTCTGCTTTAAATTCCTCTTTCACTTAAACTCACAGAAACAACATTAAGGTCCAGAGTGTTTGATTATTAATATCTGTTTCTTAGTGACTTCAGTCCTTACTGTCTCTTAAGGAGTCTGACATGACAAACTGGATAAAGAATCAAGTGCTAGCCCACTAACAAAGGAGAAGAAATGTTTCAAAATATTTCAGATGAACATAGGGCAATTCACAATTCAACCCTGGCCTCCTTCAAGGAACACAATGAGTTAGATTATTTGATGCTGCTAAAGGTCAAACACATTGGGTGCCACATTTTAGACTGCAAACAATACACAAAGCCAAAATTACAACCTCCCACTATAGTTAAAAACAATGTAATTAACAAAAAACACAAACAAGAAGTTTTGGTACCACATTTGCATTTTGAAAATAAAAATTTGGATTTTTTTACTTCTGGCTTCATTACCTGTGGTGTTTGTTTACTGTTTGCACTTAATTCCAATTTAGGACTAGACCAATGAAAACAGATGTCAGTTTTGTATCTAGTCAGTTTCAATTTCTGGTTCTCAGACACTAACACAAGATTGCAATGCTTGGTTAAAAACACTGCAAAGAAAGATTTAAAAATAAAACAGTTTACTATAGCCATTGGTTCTGTCAAATTTCCTAAACACAAAAATATCCACTAAATTTGGAGCTAAACAGTGTGCCTTTCAACATGAATAATTTTTGTGGTTCTGTGGAGAGAGGAAAAGTAAATTTGATGGTATCTGGAGGCATATAATCATTTTTCTACTGGATACTTCAGGAAAGACTATCCTATTGGTAATTCTTGTGGTAGTCAACTCCCTATTTTACAAGTTTTCGAGTGATGAAGATTATGTAACACACCCCATGCTTAATAAATCAAGTGAAGGTTAAAAGTTTCAGTACTGAGCAGAAGTATATACTAAAATATTCCATGTACATGCCAAACGTAGCCAAGAAAAAAAAATCCTGAAAGCTAAATTCTGACTTGTAGGAATCTATCAGTGGCCCTTGAAATACATCCTTTGATGTCATATGCTACCCAGACTTGATGGGATAGAACTTACAAATTAGAAAGAAACTTGTTCAGCCTCAGTTTTTAAATAGAAAACTGGCAGAAAGCGGAGAAAGAATATTCCCCCTATGGTGACATCTCCAGAGATGTGACAATGTAATAAAATGTTTGAGTATGCGAAGCACTATAAAGAATTGACTATGCAAATGAACGAAGATGCTTCCTCACCCCCCTTCACCCACTGCCTAAAATAGCAATCTAAAACTAGCTTGTTGCTTTGAATGCCTTGATCATTCAGGTAACAGTTGTTAGGTTGGATGTTTTTCTTTTAGAGCTATACAAAACTTTAAACCTCTCAGTGTCTCTTCCCAAACTTCCTCTTCAAATTCAGGGCAGTGGGAACAGGAAAATAAACTCTCGGAATATAACACCGACACCCAAATCCAAGTGTCGTCCACCTGAAATAGATCTTTTCCACACAGACCCCCCCCCAAGCCTTGTCTCACATGCGTTATTTTTTTATACTAATCTCAAGTTATCTTCAAGGACAAGGGATGAGAACCACAACAGCCCATTTATGTCCCCTTACAATAGCTTCGGCAGCGGCGATGCCCTTCAATTTGCATTCCCTAGCTCCTTCAGTTCTGGGTCCAGGACCGAGAAACACCCTGGACCCCCGGACCGCATGAAGCAGTAAGAGAACTGGAGAGAGGTTCGCTCAGGCCTAACTACACAATCTGGGGAGTTTCTTCTAGGTCAACACTGAGCGCACCAGGTGGAGGTGCCAGGCTGCCAGGCTCCCTTCCCCCTGCTCCCCCGAAGAGAGAAGTGCAGCAGCATCCCTGGCGCCTGGCGGTCCCCCCCCTCTGGAGCTCTGAGGCAGGCGGGGGAATTCCTGGTCTCACTTCCCCATTTCCAGGGCTCGCATGCAGGAGCCGGGGCTAGGAGAGCGGCGGGTGGCAGCCCCCCCAGGGCTGGCTG